TACTGGGATGGCCATGAGGGGAGGAGATGAGAGAATGAAAAGTTGGTTATGTGAGTGCAGCAGTGGTCTCAGGTTTTAAACCAAAAAGGTCAAGAAAGCTGTTGATGGGCATTGGGTACTCAGACATATGGCAATGGGGAGGTGGGAAGAGCAACACTTTAACATTACTGTTCTGAGCTCTAAGAGCAACACAAAGTTTTGGATGTGTCTGTGGATTTCAGGGGGGCTTCTGTTTGAAGGAAAAAGTTGCTAAGATAACTGGATTTTTGTCTTCCCTGACTATTATAGCCTAAGGAAAAGATTGATTTGGATGTCATATAAAGTTTTTCTAAAGATTCCTTAAAATTGCTTCATTAAAAAATTTCTACTTATTGCTGAAAAAATACTATAGCATGGAATTCAAAATTTAAATAAAAATTACCCAGAATCCTGCTGCCCTAACAATTCAACTGTTTTGATTTTCCTTGCTGCTTTCCATTCCTTTATAAATGAACACTCCTATGCAGAAACACCGCCCCCCCCCACACGTACTTTTTATATAATGTAACCATGGTGTGCCTGGAATTTTCCTTCTACTGCCACTAAAGGTGAAGTTCATCTTATGACTCACATTCATCAGGAAATCAGCAAAGGGATCAGGTTCCCCACTTCATTCCTGAATTGTAATGCCTGTTCCATTCGGCCATCTGTAATTACCGGAGTTAAGCTATGTTTAGAGTATGGTAACAAAAGAGCATCACTATTCGAAATGCACTTAATTTTTTAAAAAGATTTTATTTATTTATTCATGAGAGACACACAGAGAGAGGCAGAGACACAGGCAGAAGGAGAAGCAGGCTCCACGCAGGGAACCCAATGTGGGACTCGATCCCGGAACCCTGGGATCACTCCCTGAGCCGAAGGCACTCAACTGCTGAGCCCCTCAGGTGTCCCACACTTAATATTTTTAAGAGAATACATAAGAGCTAGTTATGGCTGAAGAAACAATTATAATTTCGGTTTTTCCATCAGTTATGAATATTTTCTAATAGTTTGCATCTTTTCCTGTTTAGAATTTTATTGAGTGCTACCAGGTGCAAGGTTCTTAGTGAACAGCTCTTTTCTCAACTGATACCACCTTTCCACAGCTCATCTTAGGGCTCAGCAGAGTCCCCTGATTCATGCCCTTTCTGGTCCCATCCCCTGTGTTCCCACTGCCTGCACCTTGTTTCTTTCCTTCCTGTTTCTTCATCCAGTTTTTAACTACACATATGTCTAGTTGCTCACTGAATGCCTCCCTCACTCTTCTGAGCTTTCCTAACAAAGGGATTGAATCTATTTGATTCACCAAGATAAGGTCATGTTATGTAAATACAGCTAGTAGATGGGAGCAAAAATGCAGGAAGGGTGCTTGGGGACACCCCTTGAATTCCCCCTGCATCTTGTCTACCACTATTCTCAGTACCTGGCACACTGAAGGCACTCACTATATATATTTGTTGAATCAATAAACATTAACATGAAATGACTTTTCATTTCCTGAAAAGTCTTAAAACCACCCAGGGAAAGAGAGTAGATGTGTGTCTGTACTGCAAGCATTGGAGGGGTTTGGGCTGGTGTGATGGTTACCCGCAAACTTGGGAGGTGCCAGTTACATTGGCTCATGACGCCCATGCCCACTCTCTTCTGACAGTGGGCAGGCTGATAGAAGGATACATGTTGGTGGTTTTTGATTCTCTGGTACCCATTCAACATCAGCCACTGTACAGAGCTCATGGGACCCATGAAAAAACTATGTTCTATCATGGTTTTCAAGTCAGACTTTCCATTTGATTATATCAACCTAAAGATCGCAAATTCTGAAGTTTTCTTACTAATGAGATATACATTAAGGATGATGGCACTATTCATTTTTTGATTTACTACTCCTTTTTAAGCAAAGCAGTAAAGAAATCAGATTTCTGATATTTTCTCATATTGAAATTTTATCAGACTTAAAGATCATGATGGAAAGTTAGTGTAGGAAACATGCTGAGTTTAGTGTCCAGCCAAACTGGAAAGGTGTGACATGTGACATTGTTTGAAATATTCAAAATGTATATATAAATATATAAATAAACAAATCTTAAAAATGAATATATAATTATAAATGAATATTATAAATCTATGTAAATATAGATATTAGACAAATATTTCAATATTTATTGAAAAGTTATATAAGAAATGTTTCCTCCACTGAATTGGGATTTTTTTGCCTTCATATACTATTTGATAACATTTTTTCCACTTATTGTATGTTGTTACCTCTTTTCACTCTGACTTTAAAGCCAAATATAATGGATTTTGAATTACTTTTTATGCTTTTCTTTCTTCTTAGTACAGCTATGCAAGTATATCTATGTAATATTGAGAACAAATCTCTTATTTTGTTTTTTTTCTTTTTAATTTTATTTATTTATGAGACAGAGAGAGAGAGAGACAGAGACAGAGAGACGGAGAGACAGAGACACAGGCAGAGGGAGAAGTAGGCTCCCTGCAGGGAGCCTCACATGGGACTCATCCTGGGTCTCCAGGATCACACCCTGAGCTGAAGGCAGTGCTAAACCGCTGAGCTGAGCCACCCAGCCTGCCCCCAAATCTCTTATTTTGGTCAATGATTTAGGGAAAATAGTAAATTCCTGATTATTTAAATATGTCATTGAATGGTCAAATTGCCTACCATTGAGTTCTGTGTTTCTCCTTGTATCTGAAGAGTACAATCAATTTAACTATATCAGTATTTGATTCATGAGTCTGGGGTCCACTTATTTGTAGTTTTTCATCAGAGATACCAGAGATTATTTCTTTCAGACTCCAGCTGGAAATGGGGTATTAACTCCCGGTGCTCACAGTAATAAGTGGGTGTCATTTAACAAAAGAAAATATTAATGCTGAGCAACCTTGACCTCTTTTTCCTCCGCGAGTGATGCAATAGATGTTTACAGAATATAAAGACAAAAATCTTAATTAGATGAAGTGAGTCAAATAAGGTCAATTTTTAGATGTTTTTCGTCAATAAACAAGTTCATGGAGCAAGAAAGATAGAAACCATCTAACTTGTGTCAGCTTGCCAACCACACACATCCAGCAACAAAATCCCCCAAACTTGCCCGTTAGGGAAAATTTTTTTGACCCACCCTACTCTTGCACTGTCAAATCAATTAGATAAAGAAATGAATGGTGGGAGAGACCAGAATATAGGAGTATTCTTAAGTGTCCAGTTGTCTAGTGTCTAAGTAATAGTTTTTTTCAGAAAAAGTAACCCCTTATTTTTTAGGGGGATGCTGACGGTAAGCTCTATTCTCAGATGTTTGTATGCTTTGCTTACATTTTGGAATAGCCTAAAAATCACTTCTAGGACCTTCTTAGAACCCTTTTTTGGAAAACTCTTGGATTTCCCAAGACTTACTTTAAGATTTTTTTTTTTTTTTACTTTGACAGAGTGGGCAAGAAAGAATATGAGTGTGGGAGAGGGGCAGAGAGAAGCAGGCTCCCCACTGAGCAGGGAGCCCAATGGGGGCTCTCTATCCCATGATCCCCAGGATCATGACCTGAGGCAAAGGCAGACACTTAACCAAATGAGCCACCCAGCTGTACCCTTTACAAATTTTATAATTTTTATTTTATTTTCCAAGGCTGCCTTTAAATCAAGATACAGTAATTCTGTAGGAGCTCTTGTTAATAGCTTGCTGGTTTTAGTAGTTATGGAGATAAAGTGCATCACTCTCTGATTAGGATCATGATATATAATTTTCAGGTAGTCTTTCCTTAGTGATCTTGTGGATTGCTTATTACAATTTAGTCCAATGTATGTGACAGTATATTTTGTCTTTGGGGAGATTAATTCTAATGTTCTTATATGTTTTATTGTATAGTCTTAATTATTTTGTATTTAAAAGAAGATAATATTTCTTTCCCATTCCTATTTTCAGCAGGTTTATATTTTATCAACCTTTATTTATATTTCTTTGGGGAAATATCCTGCATGGATAAAAAATAGACTTCTTTATTAGAGAAAAATTTATTTAAGCTGAAACTAGAACTTAATCTTTATTTATTTATTTTTAACGATTTTATTTACTTATTCATGAGAGAGAGAGAGAGAGAGGGAGGCAGAGACACAGGCAGAGGGAGAAGCAGGCTCCACGCAGGGAGCCCGAGGCGGGACTCGATCCCAGGAGTCCAGGATCACGCCGCTAAACCGCTGAGCCACTCAGGGATCCCCCTCAATCTTTATTATATGCCTGATTGTCACAAGTATTCTAAAATTGTCTTTTGTACTTGTAAAAAAGTCTCCTAAGTATGCTTTTTGTAGTGCTGAATGAAGAAGCTACATTAATTAGATTCTTTACCTGAAAATGACTCCGTAAAGAGCCCGAGGTTATTTAATGATTTGCTCAGCAAATTACAAAAGTGAGATCCCTTTCCTGCAATACAAACAAACCAAATCCACCCCAAAAATATGCTGAGAGGTCACTAAAAGTCCCTCTGGCTTCCAGGGACCTGTATCATAAGAACGACGCACTCAACTCCATATATAAAGTGAGAAATTAAGAAGAGCTTTTCCGATACAGCCTTTCTCCACCACTGCTTTATATTTAGAGAAAACAGAGGCAGTATTTTAACGAGGTCACGGAAAAGTTTTAAATTCAATCTTAAAAATTCCCGTATGCCACATTATCACAGCTGTTTCCATTTTTCATCTCCCGTTTGCATATTCGTTTTCTTATGGTGATCCCGACAGCCTGTGAGTGTGCCGATGCGATCTGTTTGTCTCCACTCATGGTAAACTTTTAAAGATGACTATTATTTCGTGTCGTCCGTCGGCGTAACGCGGCTGCGGCCTGGAGGGGCAGCCCGCCCCAAGAAACGGCGGGGTTTAGGGAGAGGAGGACCGGCGGCCCCGGCCGCGGCCCCGAGGCTCCGCCTCCCCGGGCCCCACCGCCCAGGCCCCGCCCCTCGGGGCCCGCCCCGCCCCGGCCCGCCGCCATGTTGTTCCCTTGGTGCTGGACGTGAGGAGCCGGAGTTGGGCTGAAGCGGCGCTACGGCCTCGTGCCCGCGGGTGCCCGGCCTCGTCTCCTCTTTGCACCCAGCCAGGCCGGCCGGGAGCTCACGGGCGTCCTGTGTGCGGCCGCGAGGTGAGTGGAGCGCGGACGCCCCTCCGGGCCGGGCGGGAGCCGGGGCCAGGCGCGCTAGAGCCAGCGTCGGGGTGCGGGGCGGTGGGGCCTGGGCCCCGAGTGCGGCCTGGCCCTCGGGCAGCCGGGGCGCGGGGGGCGTGGGGCCGTCGTCGGTGTTGGGACAGGGGACGGATTGGTGCCTCCAGTGTCCTACTGACTGACGCAGGAGAAAAGGCGAGTTCCCACACCCACACAACCCGAGAAGAGGGACACACACCCGAACACGCGAGGCCACGCGGAGAGACGCCCAAAGATCTGGAAGACACACGGGGACACACGCACACACCCGGGGAGAGAGAGCTCCGTGAACGCCCTGGACGCGCGCAGACCCAAACACCCAGGGAGAGCGACACGTACGCACGTTCGGGGGGGAGGGGGGAGATGTACACACACGACCCCGGGGAAACACACACATAGACCCAGTCTCTCCCCTGGCCCTCGGGGGCACACACGCATCCACCCGCGCCACCGCACCCAAACCACACCGTACCCCCAAATGATTAACGTAGAGGGAGCAAAAGCGCTCACACGGTTTGAGTTGGGCGACCTCCGACTGCCGCCCGCGTGAACGTTTGCTAATGTGTTAATGACCACTCTGTTGAGGAATTTGGAACGTAAAGCCAATGGTAGGGGCTGGCGGCACTCTTGGGGCGTTATCTGAGACTAGCTAGGGTTTCAGAATCCTGCTCGTTTCTTCCAACTTACGCTGCCGAGAGGCAAGATGAGAATTTAAAGGGCTGACCAGATAGATGTGGAGGTTTTAGTGGTCTTTTTGTCGTTGTTTTTCTTTCTAAGTGATGATACATCCCGTGACCACGATTCTTTTGAGGAATGACTTTTCTACTAGTTTCCAAAATGTCATGTGATCGCAGTCTTTTTATAGGGTTTCAGCAACCTGATAAAATCAATAGAATTTGATTCCTTTTTTAAAATTGAAGAGAATTTTTTTTGCACGTTTGTCTTTCTCTCATACATTGTGATGGAAGATTCCTAAATTGCCCGTAATCCCAAAAACTTTTGCATGAAGCAAAACTGTAGAGATGAAACGCAGAATTCTTCAGACAGGGGCTTTTAAGAAGGCTGCGCCTAGTTTCTTTTAAGAGCTTATGTTGAAATTATCGTTACTCCTTGTCTGTGACTCTCAGTATCCTATTTACATCTCCAAATCTAAGACAATGATGTAATCCGGTGCTTTTAGTAATTTTGTATAGGCATTGTAGTAAAATCCTCTTGCTTATACTAAAAAGTTTCTGGCTTGGTGACTTATTTTGGAGAGTTTTCTGATTTGGGGATATTTTTGATTTATCATTTGTGACATTAGAGTAGACCCAACGAAAACTAAGGAGAACATCGTTAGCCTTGACTCTCTCTTGGAAATTGGGGGAAAATATGTTAGTGCTCTTCCTCTTTTCCATCCTCTCTTTTTGTCTCTTTCTATCCCCACCACTCCTTCCATGTAGACTACAGTACTCTGGAGGCCTGAAGCTAACTTCCTCTCATTCTAGAGATTAATTTTTAGCCTCCTCTCATTTCTTACCATTTCTTGGGCAGTCACTCTGGCACTAGATGTTATGTGCTTAATAAATTCCGTTCATACACCATTTCATTTAAATCTCAAGACAGTTCTCTGGTATTAGCTCCATTTAACTGGTGAGGAGTTTGTTGGGGGCATAGGAGGTTTGGGTCTGTTTCCCAGGACACACAAATAGAGAAGAGGGCAGAGGCAGGATTTAAAGCAAGCATTTGTGAGTTTAGAGCAGTAGTTCTCACCCTGTGAACTTTTGGCAGTGCCAGCAGATGATTTTGGTTCTCACCTGACAGGGAGTGCTGCTGGCGCCTGAGTGGGTGGAGGCGGTGGATGCTGCCCACCATCCTACAGTGTGCAGCACAACCCTGCACAAGCAAAGAATTGTCTGGCCCAAAATGTCACTAGTGCTAAGGTTGAGAAACTCTACTTTACAGCAATCTGTGTAATTCTGGGGCTCATGTTTCAGTGCTTTTGTAGTTCTTCAAATGCAATGTAATTTTTCTATTTAGGATACCTCCACATCATTTTAAGAAAGAGCAGTGGGGAAAATTTGAGAACTTGACCAATAGGCATATTCATATTCATTTCTTTGAAAGACTTAGGAATGAGCAGATAATTCCTGATAATAGAATCTTTTTTTTCTTTTTAGTTTTTTTTAATTTTTATTTATTTATTATAGAGAGAGGGGGGGGGCAGGCAGAGACACAGGCAGAGGGAGAAGCAGACTCCATGCACCGGGAGCCCGATGTGGGATTCGATCCCGGGTCTCCAGGATCGTGCCCTGGGCCAAAGGCAGGCGCCAAACCGCTGTGCCACCCAGGGATCTCCTTTAGTTTTTTTCTTTTTCTTTTTCTCTCTCTCTTTTTTTTTTTTTTTTGGAGAGCACACAGGAGCAGGGGAAGGGGCAGAAGGAGAGGGAGACACCATCCTCAAGCAGACTCCTTGAGTAGGGAGCCCCACATAGGACTCAGTCCCAGGCCCCTGAGATTATGACCGGAGTCTAAATCAAGAGTTGGACACTCAACTGACTGAGCCACCCAGGTGCCCCCAGTAGCTTTTTCTTTTTTTCTTTTCTTTTTAAGATTTTATTTATTCATGAGAGACAGAGAGAGACAAAGGCAGAGGGAGAAGCAGGCTCCATGCAGGGAACCCGATGTGGGACTCGATCCCAGGTCTCCAGGATCACATCCTGGGCTGAAGGCGGCGCTAAACCGCTAAGCCACCGGGGGCTGCCCTTTTTTTTTTTCTTTTTAAAGATTTTATGCGCTAGAGAGAAAGCCAGAGAGAGCGCGAACATGTGAGCAAGGGAGGGGCAGAGGGGGAGAGAGAGAGAATCCCAAGCAGACTCTGCACTGAGCACAGAGTCCACAGCAGGTCTTGATTCCGTGACCCTGAGATCATGACCTGAGGCAAAATCAAGAGTTGGATGCTCTATGGACTGAGCCACACAGGTGCCTCCAGAATCTTTTTTTTTTTTTTTTAAAGGCAAAAGTGTCAAAAAGAACTTGAGAGCCATTCAGAGCTGTTGAAATAGACTTAGGGGTTTGGTTTCTATAATATTCCAGTTGTCAGTAAACACTGGGCAGGCTGTTGGGCACTAATACGAAGGTGCTGGTGATATGAAGGGCAATAAGGAGTCGCCAATTCTGCAAAGCTTACAGTCTCATAATTGTAAGAGCAGATTCTGACTTTGCCCTAGAACAAAATTTATTGCCTGGGCTACTCAAGGTCAGGGGCTAGGTGTCATTAAAAAAAAAAAATAGCTGTGTACCCACACACATACCTGTAGGGCATTTACTGTGGATGTACTTAGGTGAAATGGGGGAACAATTGATGTGTTTTTTATAGCTTTTTAGGTTGATCAGGGGTGAATATTTACAAGAATCAAATTGAGCCATTCTTGTCGAGCATCAAATTCTTCCTTACATTTAGCCATAGTAAACAGTAGTTATGCATGTATTGTACATGGGAATCAAGAAATAAATGAGAAATTTTTAAAAATGACTTCTTTTGCATCATTTTTTTTTCTTTCTGTTGTTTTCCAGCCGTTTTCACCATACCTGTCTAAGACTAGGCCCTTCAGGATATGTACTACTTCATTTTGGTGGTGAATGTAACTGTTAGGTGAACTTCTGGGGTAAGTGATTGAGTCAGAAAGGTTTGGCTATCTTTTTAGGAATCACTGTGGTGAAAGTGTTATTCACGCAGCCAACATGGCATCTTTTGTGGGTAGCGTTGCTTTTGACTCATGTTGATGGACAGCATGTTCTTTGTCAGTTATAGATTTCTCTGCCTCTTATAGGTAATTCTCTCCTATGGGGTAGAGGAGATGCTAAATTGTACACCTAAAAATGATTGCTATCATATGGGATCTAGCAAAGGAATGTGTGTTCTTTGGACGGGTTTTATTCTGGGAAGGATCAAAAGAAATTGGTGCAGGAACAACATCCATTGGCCTCAGGAACCTTGCTGGATGAGTAGTTGGCTTGCTACTCTGGCTAAGGTAGGTCACCACATTTCTTTCTTTGTAAAATGAGATGGTTGTATTTTATAATCTCTATGAGATTATATGACACCAAGTAGAGACATCAAATTATTGGCTTCCAAGTAGTTCAGCTCCAGGCAATTTGCTGGTTAAGCAGCAGGAGGAAATAAGCCAAATAGAAGTGTGCTTGTGTGTTTGAGAAACGCGTCTCACATGAAAGCTAGCTAGGTAATAAATTTGTTAGTCAAAACCAAGGACCAGAAAATAGGGCTTGTGACTAAGTAGGTCATCAACAGAGAACATTTATTAAGGATTTTCGGGGGCCAGGCGATGAGCTCATAAAATGCCTCAGGGAGTTTGGAAAGCTGTGATGCAGAAGCAGGTTCTGAATACTTGAGAGAGGATGCCTGGGGGACCCGGGTGTGTAAGCTAGTGGAGGGGGCCTGACCTCTCCTTGTGTTGGGGAGGTAAGGCTGGAGGTAGTCCCAGGCCTGTGCTTGCCAGGGAGCCTAGGGGTGCCCAGGCTCATTAGATAACTTAGAGGAGAAATCTCTGTTTCCCAGAATGAATCTTGATGTTGTACATGTTGTGAAAGTTGAGCTCTGGGCATTTCCACATTCTGTATTCTTCCATTGCTTTTTGTTAATTTTTGACCATGGTGGATACAGGGTTTAGATGCTGTTGCTTATCACGAACACAGAGAGGACAGCTAGAAGTAAATGCAAGTAAGCTGACAGATCGCCACGGAGTGGAGAAAGACGGGTGTGAGTTTTGAAAAAAATACAGAAATGAAGCAGGCATTTGAGGCTTCACATTCTGCCCTCACCGAACCCAGCTCACTTCATGATGGGGAGTTTGAACACAGACTCCACCTCTGTCCAAGGCCTGATGCCTTACAAATCTTTGTACTCGTTTGACAGGGGACAGAGAAACGGTATGGGACAACTTGATACACTCGTTCCGTGGCCACATTCGTTATCCACATGTGAGGGATAGCAGAGCAGTGTAAACCGACAGACTGAACTATTAGGCCAATGTAAACTGAAATGTTTTAATTCCAAGTTTTTGTGTATTGGACTAGGATTTTGAGTACAGAGGCCAAAGTAGTTTTCTGAAGGTAGTTTTTACATGCACTGTCAGTGTTAGAGAAGCCCAGAAAAAGCCTTACAGATTTCACTTTCTAGAACTTGCTATGTAGAACACTTAGAGGAGTGTTGAAATGATTAAAAAGGTTCAAAAAAGTTAGAACTCACTGGGGTGTGGTGTGTAGCTGGCACCTGCTCTATTCTGTGCAGTTTCACGCTTGTGTATTTAATCAGAGCATTGATTAGATAAACATACCTGAAAATGCATACGTGGTTTAGTTGGAAGTCAGAACAGCAGAAGAACGATTTGAGGACCACACATTGGTGAATGCAGAACATTCTCTGGAATGTGTTCCAGTATTTTTTAAAAGATTTTGGGGATCCCTGGGTGGCTCAGCGGTTTAGTGCCTTCCTTTGGCCCAGGGCGCAATCCTGGAGTCCCGGGATCAAGTCCCGTGTCCAGCTCCCAGTATGGAGCCTGCTTCTCCCTCTGCCTGTGTCTCTGCCTCTCTCTCTCTCTCTCATAAATAAATAAGTAAATCTTAAAAAAAAAAAATAAAAGATTTTATTTGAGAGAGAGAGAGAACTCACAGAGGAAAAGGAAGAATGAGACCCCCTCATTGAGCTGGGATGTGGGGCTCGGTCCCAGGATCCTGAGATCTGCCTAAGGCAGATGCTTCACCAACTGAGCCACCCAGACACCCCGAGTTCCAGTAATATTAAATAAACTTTCATAAATAGTTGTTGTGGAACAAACAGCTGCCACCTTCATGTCCTAATCCTCTTTAATATTTGCGTACTACTTGATTTTTATCACCCTAGCCCTGGAAAACCCAGCTTTGCAAAGATAACAGTGTTATCGAAAGGAATGTGGTACAATCTAATGTTGAAACCATGAACTCCCTTGAGCACCAGCTTAGTTTACGTGATGTTTTAGATCAGCTTCCTCTGTATAGTTCCCTCAAAAATTTAAAAAAGCCTGCCCTGCCCCTGTTGCCTATGAGGACTATCGCTTGATAGTTCATAGGGTTTCATCCCCATTTTCTTCTGTACACACTTCTTTAGGAAGTAGATTTATCTGTGGAGAAAGGGGCCACTAGGTGCAGAGCGGATGGTCATGGGGTCTTTGGCCTTTCAGGAGAAACCCTTGTGCTTTCAGCATGGCCAGCCTGCCTCAGTAATTGTCCAGAAGTGCCGTTGTGCCTCTTCAAGTCTTCCATGGGAATCAGCCTTCTCATTGTTAGCTGCTTCTCCCTGAGTTAGCATTCCTCATCTCTTCAGTTTGTCCTTACTAGAATATTTGCTTTCTATCTCATTTTCATTGCTGTCTCTCATCTATGGTTATTCCCCTCTTCTTGTCCCTTCGGGTTTTTGTATTTTTTAGACTTTTTAATATTTTATTTATCAGAGCGAGCAAGCACAGGGGTAGGAGCAGAGGGCAAGGGAGAAACAGGCTCCTGGTTGAGCAGGGAGCCAGATGGGGGGCTCGATCCCAGGACCCTGGGATCATGACCTGAGCTGAAGGCAGAAGCTCAACTGACTGAGCCATCCAGGCACCCCTATTTTCTAGACTTTTTTTGTCATTTGGTGGAAGCGAAGGTAACACATGGTCGACCTGCCCTGTTTAATTAGACTGCAGGAAGTTAATCTTTGTGAACTTGTGTTCATTGATGTGTAAAACATAGGGTGATAGTGTCCAACATGCAGATGATTTTGAAGGTGCTATATGCCAGGTACCTAGTAGATATTCAGTAAACAGTGGTGGCTAATATTACTATAGTCATAGCGTTTATTATTTGAGCAAGCAAGACAATGGCAACAGGTAGGGAGAGAAGTGGACACATTCTTGTGTGGGTGAAGTGGATAAGACAGAAGAGATTTTGGAAATGGGGGAAATAATTAGCTTGGTTTTATATATGTTGAATTTGAACTGCCATCAGGGTACCACATGCACATATTTTAAAAGGGGTTGGAATTCTTGTCCCAAAGAGGGGGGAGGGTGGGGGTGGACTTTAGAAAATCACTGAGTTTTATATCTCAGGAAAATGTGGTTTGTGAAGAGGTAAGGGCTTCAACCTTATGATATACCTACTCTAAGAGCTTGTTAGAAGAAGGAGTTGCAGAAAGCTAAGGGAAGTTTTTGTTTGTTTGATTGTTAAGATTTTATTTATTTATTTATTTATTTATTTATTTATTTATTTATTTATTGAGACACGGGGGTGGGGGCAGAGACATAGGCAGAGGGAGAAGCAGGCTCCATGCAGGGAACCCGACCTGGGACTCGATCCAGGGTCTCCAGGATCACACCGTGGGCTGCAGGTGGTGCTAAACCGCTGCGCCACCGGGGCTGCCCATAAGGGAAGTTTTATAGACCATTAAATAGAAAATTTTCAAAGTCACCACCAGGCTGTTTAGACCTAATAGAGGCAGTAATGGTGGCTGAGTTCTGGCTAACATTTGAAGGTTCCACTTATGCCTCTAGCTGGAGGTGTGATACTTCATTAGAATCTTTCCCAGTTGGGTCTCCATTTCCTTATTTATTTAAGAAAAATGTCTTGAGTACCCTTTGAGTTTTTATGTCATGTACATCCAGACAAATGGCTACATCTGAGAGAATTCACTGTGGAGGTGTTTTTCTGGAAGCATACACGGTGAAGTCCTAAGAGAAGCACTTTTCTCTTTATTTGCTTTGGGGCTGTGTGTACCCTAGGGCAATTCGATGAGGACTGAGGATTGGCCTTTAGGAGGTCTCTGGTGACTGCTGCTGACACTCCGGGATGGAGAAGTTGGGAGCCTGTGTATAGTGACTGGAATGGAGTAGAGAGTTGATCAGGCCTAGAGGTGAATTCAGTAGGTAGTGAAGCTTTTTGTAAGCAGTCAGCTCCATTCTCTTGGTTGGGGCAAACTTGGGGCATCATTGATGGAGAAGTGGGATGAAGTGAACTTTCCTGTAAGCTGCCTGCAGTGCTCTTCCGTGTTTTCTCATTTTGACCTGGTGACCACTTCCCCACAGAATGGGCTCCTCTAATCTAGTTGAGAGCTGTATGCTAGATGTATAGCTGTCTTCTTGAAATATATCTTGGGAAATCCCCACTCCTCTTAATTTTTCTTTCTTTCTTTTTTTTTAGATTTTATTTATTTATTCATGAGAGACAGAGAGAAAGAGAGGCAGAGACACAGGCAGAGGGAGAAGCAGGCCTCCTGCAAGGAGCCCAATGTGGGATTCGATCTCAGATCCCAGGATCACGCCCTGAGCTGAAGGCAGACGCCCAACCGCTGAACCACCCAGGCGGCCCTCTTACTTAATTTCTTAACAGCCAAAAAGTTCTACTTTTTTGTGGCTCCATGTTTTGTGTGGTCATCTTTGTGTACTAACTCTTCCCTGGGTTTTTATGAAAGTCTGGCCCTTACCTTTTCTCCAAATTACAAAGACACCTGGTTTCTTATCTGACTTGAGGTGTAGGAATCAGTGTTCCCTTTAGTACAGCAGATCATTGTGGGTCATATTTAATTTGTGTTTTGCTGCTTCAATGCGTATTTGTAACATGCATATTTAAATTCATTTCTTTCACAATGCAGTTTTCCTGAAATACCTAGCTGGAATTTCCAATATTCCAATCTTGTGACCTTTATCCATTTCTTTGTCTTTGAATTGTCCCTTACAGTGCAACCTTAAACTATCTGAAGTACTTTAAACAACCTTAAACTAAAAAAAATCTCTTTATTGTTGAACAGTTTAATTATCTTTCACAGGTAAATGTCTTATTATAGGTAGATTTATGTGTGTTCTTTTAAGGACCTCATTAAAAAAAAAAGGGCCTCATTAAACAGAACAGAGAACAAAATGTTATCCTCACTTCCAGGATTAGCAGTTTCCCACGAGTAAGTCTGTTCACTGAACTGTCACAGTTCATGGTCAAAATGTAATATTAA